AGAAGCAGGCTTCCCGCTGAGCAAGAAGCCCGATGCGGGGCTCGATCCCAGGACCCTGGGATCACGACCTGAGCCGAAGGCAGACGCTTAACGACTGAGCCACCCAGGCGCCCCTACTCTTTTATTTTTAAAGCAAGCTCTACACCCACTGTGCAGTTGAACTCACGACCCCAAGATCAGGAGTCCCATGCTCTACCAACTGAGCCAGCCAGGCACCCCATGAATTACTCTTAAGGAAGAAACATCTAGGCCTAATCTACCTCTGCAACAGCTTTTGCATTGTTAGACAAACAGATACTGACAAAAAGATATATAAAAATATATTTCCAATATATAATTGGGACACATTTTTCCATAATTTTTAAAGAGATGTAAGAAAAAGGTCTATTTTAGATTCAAGTAAGATACATTACAGAATTTTTTATAAGAGAAGACAAAGAAAGGGAGATTACAGGGGCGCCTGGGTGGCTCAGTCGTTAAGCGTCTGCCTTCAGCTCAGGTCATGGTCCCAGGGTCCTGGGATCGAGCCCCACGTCAGGCTCCCTGCTCGGCGGGAAGCCTGCTTCTCCCTCTGCCTCTGCCCCTGCTCGTGTTCCCTCTCTCTCACTGTCTCTCTCTCTGTCAAATGAATAAAATCTTTAAAAAAAAAAAAGGGAGATTACACTGCATTAGACTGAGCCTATCATTGTTATACCAGAATGTGTCAGGGCTGGATGTAACAAATTAAACTGGTAAGCAAACCGGAGACTACAAAAGTCAAAAAGTTCTCAGCTGCATTAGAAAAAAATCTTTAATAATAAAAAGCATATTCTGTAAACCTTGTACTATGATTCTTACAAGTGAGGGTCAGAGAATATATATGATGATTATATATATATGATAAACTGTAAGTGAATTTATATCAATTCTTTCTCATCCAAAAACTTTTTAAAGCCTAAAAGAAGGAATAAGCAGGATCTAGACAAAGGTTAGTTGAAAGATGAAGTGTCAGTAAGATCAGGAAAGGAGGGCACCCTCAGACTTTAAGCAGTTATAAATATGAGGAAAGCAGCATAAAATGAGATTTTTTTTTAAAAAAATGCACTGAATATTAGATTTGGGGAAATACAATCTGAAACACAAATATTTATTGAATGTAAGGAGATCCCACATAAGACCCCCAGCAGTAATAATGAATCACAAGCTACAGTGGATGTATTTTGCACCATAAAACTGTGCCAAAAGGGAAAATGTCAATATTAGCTAAGATGGTCATTAAAAATGCATATATTAATCTAGTCAAATCACTCCCTAGTTCTTATTTCTTACCTGAGACTGTTGAGATCAAGATCATCTGTATCAAAATCCAAAAGGGGCTGTGGAGTATCACTTGGACCGTGAGACTGCAACACAGATGAACTGGATGATATGACTGTGGTTTGGCCTGAGGGATGGATGGTTTTGAACTGGAACTGGGGACCCATCCACAGACGTCTGTGGGGTCCAGTGTGTGTTACAATTTCTACCTGGAACAGATTACGAATCATGATTTAAATGTCTTATGACCTCCTTTGAAGAGCCTTTCGTGATCCCCCCCCATCCTGTCTCCGAACACCCTCCAAGCCCATCTTAACCAAATAGGAGAGGTACGGGGCATCCACAATCAAAAGGCAATGATAGTCACAGCCTATATACACATTCTCTACATCCCTCCACTGATTTTTACCAAAATAAACAAAAAATTTATTGTGTGTGTGTGTGTGTATTTATATGGGTGTGAGCATGCACATGCACACACATACACACAGTCCACACATATACAACATGAAAGTCAAAGAGTAAAAGGACCAGTTGCCTGCCTCATATAACTAGCATCAACTCCCTAGGGACTACGTTTTTTCATTCTAGACAGTACTTACCACTTTGTGGGCATGCATTGAATACTACACCTATCAATCCACAGATTAAAGTAATTCCTTCACTGAGGATCAAGCTCATGACAAACTTGAAGTTGTTCTTAAACTATCCAAGGAAAAGAAAAGGTCTGAAATAATTTTCAACACCCAAAGCCAGTTTTTTCCAGTAAATATTTACTATGCTACCCTCAAAATCCCCCCAAGTCAACTTTTAAATGAAGAGAGTATTATATACTTTCTCTCAGACTAGATTTGTCTTCAAAACACCATTATTTATTTATTTTTTTGTTTTTGTTTTTTTTGTTTTTTTTGTTTTTATTCATGAGAGACAGAGCGAGAGAGAAAGGCAGAGGGAGAAGCAGGCTCCCAAGGAGCAGGGAGCCCGATGCAGGACTCGATCCCAGGACCCTGAGATCATGACCTGAGCCGAAGGCAGACGCTTAACCATCTGAGCCACCCAGGCGCCCCAAAACACCATTATTTAATTAGAACGTTTCCTCCACTACCATGAACATTGACACAGGTATTTTAAGTGCTGCAAAACAGTAATACTAAAAGGTTTATGAATTTCATGCTCTATAGAGGGGATAGGGAATGGTGCCAATATTAAAGACTTTAAAGACAGAGCAGAGAGTAGAGGATACAGAATGAAACCTGAAGATAAACATATCATATGATTTTATACATGAGCAACTTGATGAAGAGACTAAATATGCAAACGTCTGGTGAAAGACTACCTCTCGAAGTCTTTAACTGCTACCTCCACGTCTGTATATACACTTAATGGAACTGACTTCCCATGTGCCTTAGTTTTGCCCTGAGTTCTTTCATATTTAATCACATTTCTCTGATTGCGGTGATCAATTCTTAACGAAACACAACTGAAAAGGTTCACAGAGTGCAGCTCTGTGTTTGGCAAGTCCTAAAGGGCAAAAGCATCATGGTCTTGGAACAACATTCGCATTCCCACTAATCACAGGGCAAAAAATACTCAGATTTAGGACAGCGATTTCTGATTCAAGTAGTTGTATCCTGCAATGTAAATTAGGCCACGGATAAAGCATTCTGTGTATTTTAAGCTCAGAACCATCCGTGTCACAGAGCCGAGAGGTAAACAGATGCCTATATAGTTTCACTGAGGCAATGACCAGATGTTCCTATTCACTCTCCTAGTGTGTGCGGTACAAACATATTGTCTACACTTCCACACTGACAGCACACATTACCCCTTCTTCTAACTGAAAAGTTGAAGTGAAGGACAGTGGTTTCTTTGCCAGCATTTTTTTTTTCTTTACTTTACCATGGTATCCTCAAGAAAGGAGGCACCTCCACAGACCAGGAATCAAAGCATTGACCCTCCTTCAAGGAGCTTCCCGTGAGTGCTTTAGGTGTAATGAAACGTATGTCACCTACACATAATTTGACGCTCCGGCTTCCAGATTCCCTTTAGTTTGTCAGGCTACCCTCCCCAAGAAAGCAGGGAAACTGCACGAACCTCCACGGAGGCACCTGTCTGATGAAAGCCGCTTGGATTGGTAATCTGAGACAGGTCATTAACTTCACCAAGTGATGTCAGACTTGAGGCAGACATAACAGCATTTGTAATGAAGTCATTCGTAATCTCATCATTTTGAAATGTGCCCGTATCTTTTATTTCAAAGCCCTTGCGATGAAGACAGCCTCACCTGGCAAGGGGAGGAAGGGTCAGCTGGAGCTGTCACAGGCCTGGCTGAGAGACCGCTGGAGGCAGCAGGACGGGAGCCGAGGAAAGGAACCCAGCTGGGCACAATCAGGACGTGTGCAGAGTAGAAGGCTGACCTCTTCTAATCCGAGTATGGGCCCAATCTTCAGAAAATGTTGGCTCCACAAAACATAGCCCACACATTGTTGAAAGGCTTCACAGTTTCAACAAGGCCAATTCTCATTTTAATCCAAACAGTCCATGTAAAACCCAAAGGTTCTAAGGGATATACATGGATTGTTTGAAAGCTATGCATATTTTATGCCCTCTGTATGAAAGCTAATGTACACACACACACACACGTGTACAATACATATAAAATATACGTATATGTATCCTTGCAGCAGTATTTATAAGAAATTCTTCGTATGGCAAGACAACTGATTAATTCTTGGTGATCCCACAAAGAGTTCCCAATTCTGCCCATTTTCTTCTAAGGAAAATAATTTTTAAGTTTTTAGAATTGAAGAATAAACACAGACAATGGATTTCTGTTTTCTTTCACTTTAATAGGCCAAACATTTTAGAGTTTTACCTGAGAAAGCCATTCTTCATCTTCCTGTCCACTGTGGTCAGAAGCTAAACTGTCATAGGACCCATGCCGAGTAATGGGCCCCGGACTTCCAGGGGGAGCCACTGTAGGAGAAAGAAAACATATTTAAACAACTTTAACCCATGCCGTGGAAAAATTCATGTGGTTGCAACCATCCTGGACACTGTGTTGAATTTTAACATAAAATATGATGTTTAATGCACAAAGGCGATTCAAATAATTAATGAACAAGAAAGGCTGAATTTGTTTGTTTGTTTGTTTGTTTTAAAGATTTTATTTATTTGACAGAGAGAGACACAGTGGTAGAGGGAACACAAGGAAGGGGAGTGGGAGAAGGAGAAGCAGGCTCCCCACCGAGCAGAGAGCCGATGCGGGGCTCGATCCCAGGACCCTGGGATCATGACCTGAGCCGAAGGCAGACGCTCAACGACTGAGCCACCCAGGCACCCCGAAAGGCTGAATTTCTTAGAAGTAAGAAAGATCTCCAATTAAGAGTACACTTTAAAAAGTATCTACAGGAATTGAGTCATGACAGATAGTAGCGTAAAAGAAATAAACAACCAGCTGCACCTTAGCAGTATGAGTACAGTAAGGAGCAGTGACAATTCCATGACACATGCTCGGGATTCAGGACATTTCAATCATCTCCAATTAACAAAGAAATTAATCTGACGCAGTTCCTATAATTTGGGGAGGAATTTTTATTAAAACAAACGTCAAGATTCTTTGAGAGTCTATTTAGTAGTTTCATATCAATTAAAAGGCATAAATATGCATTTTTAACGTAAAACACTTCTAGTTTCTGAAACATTTCATTTATCCAAAGAAATATTTCATTTTCTTGGATACTTCAGTAGTTTCCCCAATTCTTAAGTGGTAGAATATAGTCTTAAAATACAAAGAAAAAAAATACAAGAGCCTATTTTCTTATACAAGGAAGAACCTTTGCTTAGTCAAAGCAATAAAATTATTCAACAAACATCTATTGAGTTCCTACTATAAACCAAATATTATCCCAATAAAAACTTAGCCTCTTCTTTTTAAAGTCCCATAGTATTTATTTGCTTATTTTTATTATAAAATAGACTTTATTTTTTGGAATACTTTTTTTTTAAGACTTTATTTGAGAGAGAGCAAGAGAGAGAACACAGAGGGAGAGGGAGAAGCAGACTCCCCACTGAGCACAGAGCCTGACACGGGGCTCGATCCCAGGACCCTGGGATCATGATCTGAGCCAAAGGCAGACGCTTAACTGACTGAGCCACCCAGGCGCCCCAAATATTTGGAATACTTTTAAGTTCACAGCAAAACTGAGCAGAAGACACAATGATTTCTCATATACTCTCTGCCTCTATCTGTGATTTTAATACCAAGAGAAATAAAGCAGTGAAGTACTGGGGGAAGTAGGAAAAAAAAGGCAAAAAAGGGAGGAAGTATGTGAGTATTAAAAAAAGAATACAAAAGAATGAGAAACAGAAAATTACCTCATAATTTCCATCACCCAGAGATTTGTGTGTATGCATCTACATGTGCTACATTTGTTAGGCTACATTCCCAAAAATGAAATAAAAGGATATGAACATATTTAAATCTCTTAATGCTGATTAGGAGTTATATAGGTGTATAGTTCCTTCCCGAGCAGTGACGGAGAATATTGCCAGACAAGGTATTCCGAAGAACTAAATCTGAGTGAAACAGATTCAAATCAAGTAGACAGAGGCGAAGAACCTAGGGCAAGATTTTAAAGGATGCATGCTCAAAAAAAACCTAACTTAACTTGCTGGTGGAGGAGAAGTGGTACCTAAGCCATCAATTACCATTCAGAAGGGGGTAAACAGTATTAAAGTGTTAAGATTTGCAGTGGTGAAAATGATTAGCCACTATTTTTTCAAAATCATAGTTCTACTTTGACAGGCATGCTGGCATTTGGCACAAAACACCAGTGATCACCGAAGGAAAACATGTAATTTCTTATGATTCTGAATGATTATCATGAAGAAAAGAGTATCATAATAATTATCTCATTAATATTTAAGCATCCTCTTGGGAATAATTTTGGTGTATATTGCCAAACTGTTAAGTAAATTTATGTTTGCAGAAGGCTGAGTTGTTCCTAAGCCATTTGTTATCTTTTCAATAAATAAATTTTATATTGAATTCTTTTTTTAAAAGATTTATTTATTTCTTTTAGAGAGAGAGAGCAGGGGAAAGGGGCAGAGGGAGGAGAGAATCTCAAGCAGACACCCACTGAGCATTGAGCCCAACGTGGGGCTCAATCTCACAACCCTGAGATCATGACCTGAGCTGAAATCAAGAATCGGATGCTTAAACCGACTGAGCCACCGAGATGCCCCTGTATTAAGTTCTTAAGACAAAACAGAACAAGTGGATCCTTCAAAACCTCCATAAATAGTAGTCAAGAAAGTGACTAAGGACAAATATCTAAAGGTTAGGACATATTTTGGAAAGGAATTGAGGGTGGAGAAGATTTTAAAGAGGTGAATGAATAGGCTATGCAGATATGTGAGGGAAAAGTGTTACAAAGAGAATCTCAAGTACAAAGATTTTGAAGTGGGAGCAAAAAGAAAATGTTTTGGTAATTATTAGGAGGCTGACATAGTTGGGTGTGGTGAGGCAGGTTGAAAGTGGAAGATGAGTTCAGTAAAACAAAGGGGGTGGGGAGGGAGGACCAGCAGATGGCTTAGGGCTTTTTTCCCCCAATAAAGCTAGGGTAATGTGATGAAAAGATATTAGAAAGTTGTAAAGAGAAGTGAGAAATTACATCCTTGTATAACTAACTACCATTTAATGAGAACTTTCCGAAGAGTTTATGTTGCATTCTATATATGCTGACCCCAGGCTGGGACTGTCACAGCATGAGCACTCTATTAGGTATTAAGTGAATGGAATTTTGGATTCTGGACTAAGCGAGGAGACCAGAATAGTTGGACATTTATTTATCCATCATTAAAATGGCATAAACTTAAAAAGAATACAGTGTCAGGGAAGGGGTAAGGAGTAGGATTGTAGATGAAACAAGATTAGTCATGAGTTGATCATTGTTGAAGCTGGATGATAGGTACATGGAGAGTTATTATACTATTGTTTTCTAATTTTGTGTATGTTTGGCATTTCCCATAGTAAAAAGTTCAAAAAAGAAGAAGAAAAAGAAAAAAAATTCCCTTCCTCCCAACCGTCCCCCTACTTTCCAAAGAAAGTGATAAAAATACCAAATACACACCTATGAAACATTAAATCTGAATCCTGAATTCCTAAATAGAGATTTTAAGAGTTCCACACCTTATGTTCACTAAAAAATAGTTTTCCAATAGCTTTGAAGCATCCAGAAGATTCACAATATAAAATACAAGTCGGATGGGATAACATTTTCAACATCAAATAAATATCCTTCCCTCTCCCTTACTTTGTGTTTAAAAATTTTCCCCAATCCAGGTGGGAAGTACATTCCACGTTCACTATGTTAAGGAAGCAATGACATACCAAGTCACAATGAAAAAAGAATTCAAAACCTTGACCCTAGCATAAGAAAAAAAAACTGAAAGTATGATAATTAAGAGCAAGGCTTCCATACTCTCTAACCAGCCAATTATTAGGAAGGATTGAGATTAAAGCAAGAGTGCCATCAGCAGAAAGGGGTAAAAAGAGGGTCCTTAAGGAAGGGGAAAAATGACTGAATCCCAGGAGGTTTAGGGATAAAACATCTGTGAAAAATCCTATCTTCATTCTTGGGTAGAGCTCAAGGAAGTAGCAAGAGATCCCACAAGGCTCAAGAGAAGAAGAGGTGTGCACACAGTGTGTTTACACGGTCAAGTCTGTGATAACCTCTCCAAGTTTCCTGTGGATTAGCTGAGAATAGTATTTCATATGTGTACAAGAGGAACATGGACGAGATCCAGAGAACTGACAGGCTTTGAAAAGGTTTTGAAGTAGAAACAAGGATGGATGCTGCAGAGACCTAGCGGAACCAGTAACCAGTGATCAGGTAGGGAAATAGGACATCCCAGTGGTGACAATAAGGATAAAATGTCTCCAACTCTCCCATCTCTTATCTTTGCACTCTGAAAGTCCTCTAGAATTTAGAAGCAATTTGGAGGAGGTATCACTGATTGAGATTAATTTTTCCACACTTGTTAGAAAGAAGGCACAAAAGAGAATTACAGAAGAGAATTTGTTTATAGAAAAAAATTAAGTTCCATGTCTCATAAGCCTGAGTTTAATGGACCAACATAGACACCTTTCTATATAAAGAAAAATGTTTAGTATCTTTTACATGTACCAACTATCCTTAGATCATTAATAAACTTGAGACAGGAAAAGAATATGGAATTCTGTAATAAAAATCTCTGCCATGTTCCTTCCCTACCTTAGGAACAGTAATTTAAAACAAACCTATCCATCTAACTAGAAAGGCTACACTGCCAATTTACTTTAGAGAATACAACTTCAAAAGTACTGCTTCTACACACAGGCATGTGGTAAGTATAGATCAACAAGCAAGGGCAGGATGAGCAGATCATTATGAGGTAACTGTGAGCCAGACTGTTTATACTGTGTTCTCTGGAAAGCAGATCATGCTTCCAGTGAGTAAATAAGTGCTAAAAAAAAATCACAAAGTGTATTTTGCTGTCTTACAGTGATACATGGGTGTGTCTATGTATACAAATGTGTGTTTCTATGTATATATTTATATATTTTAATATGTGTTTATGTGCAAAGCAAACAAAAGCAAATCTGTTTCAGTGCCGACCTCTGCAAATTAGTCCTGTTAATCTAAACCCCAAAAACTTCCAAGTCAGTAGAACAATATGAATAAAACTATGAACAGAAAGATGAAATGCTACCTTGATAATGACCCTAAGTCTGAATCCCACATAACAAAATTCTCAATATTATAAAGTGGAAAAAGTCAATATAATATAACTTCTCAGATATGTAAATGGTTTGCACAAGTTCTGTGCAAATTTTGAAATTTTAGATGTCTTCTGCACTATAATGTAAGGATCAATCAGTATAGAATTTTTACAAATTACCCATATAGAATATGGTATTTCTGAGTTAGAGA